CACCCTCCCCCTGGTCAGAATCCTCTACAGCACCCATACCCCCTACCATGCCCTGCACCCCAATCTCCTGCCCCCAGTCACAGCCCCCTTCTTCACCTAAACTCACACTCAGACCACATACCCTTTCCTGTACCCCAGTCCCCTACCCTGAGCTCCTTTCTGCAACCAGCTTCCATCCCAGAACCCACAGAGAAGTGCAGCCCTTGATCACATACCAAAATCTTGGAGTGCCTCCCCACATCAAAAAGTATTGCCATCCATGATCTAGACCATTCCTGACAACATTTTGTCTAACCTGCTCTTAAAAATCTCCAATGATGGAAATTCCACAATCTCCCCAAGCAATCATTCCAGTGCTTAACCACTCTGACGGTTAGGAAGCTTCTCTAATGTCCAACCTGAACCTCCCATGCTGCAATTTAAGCCCATTGCTTCTTGTCCTATCCTCTGAGGTTAAAAATAATAATATTTTTTCCCTCCTCCTTGTAACAACTGTTTAGGTACTTGAAAATGATTATCATTTCCCCCTCAGTCTTCTCATTTCCACACTAAACAAACCTATTTTTTTCAGTCTTCCCTCATAGGTCACATTTTCTAAACCTTTAATAATTTTTATGCTCTTCTCTGGACTTTCTCCAATTTGTCCACATCTTTCCTGAAATGTGGTGCCCAAAACCAGACAAAACTCCAGTTGAGGCCTAAGCAGTGTGAGCTACAAAGAATTATTTCTTGTGTCTTGCTTATGACACTCCTCCGAATACATCCCAGAAAGTTTGCTTTTTTCTTCTTGCATCAGCATTTCTTCCCCCCCCCCCCCCCCCCCATCCCTTTCCACAGTACTCCATTCTAGTATTGTGCTCCTCTCATTCTTTTGACTCATGTAATGGCTTCTGAAGATTATTTAAACTGAAAGGGAATCACAAATGACTTTTTATTATCTTTTTTTTTCAGTTTGTTCAATTTGGGCATATGACAGCACTTGGTGTATAGAAACTAAGTGAAAATAGCCTTTCAAACATCAACAGGTGGGCAGAAAAACACAATAAAAAATCAGGGTAAACTGTTTAAGAGGTGCTTTCTCAGAAAATTTATTTTAATTTAAAAAAAACTCACATTGACACTGTCCTCTTAAATATTTATTCTCAGGCCATTGCTTGTTGTAGTTTCTACAAAAATCTGAATTTAATTTACTCTATTTTTTCCTTCAGTCCTGCAAGAGACTTTGAATTGGGTGGAAGAAATTTCTTTATCCTTTTTAAGCTCTACCTACTATCTTCTAAATCTGTATTTCCTGAAATGTTTTTTTCTCTGGTACACTTCCTCTTTTGGGCAAATGTCTCATGCCGCACACACTACGGTAGCCATAAAACCAACGTGTTTGTTAAGAAAAAGATTTTACATTAATACATCATATCAGCAACACAATTCCACCTTATCGCTGAACAAACTGCAGACAAATAGATCTGTCTTGATTAAAATCTTCAGTGGAGGAAATGTAACTTTTTGCAATAGCGGGGAAGGGAATGAAGATATTGTGCCCCCTAAAAATATTAAGAAATCCTTCTATGGAGAGGACTGAGTACTGAAATGTTCTGAGCACTACCTTTGAGACATAGATTATCTGGCTTAATTTCTAGAGGAAGGTAACATAAGAATAGAGCAAATGAGAATGGAGAGGGACATTGAATAAACAGGATGATCTCACAGAAATTATCCTGATACAACTTAAGGGTAGACTGGATACCAAATCCTGCTAAAGACCCTGAACCGAAATGTGAAAAAGGCTCCTATATAAGAAATCCAAGAATGAGTGGGAGAGGAGCAAATACAGTATCTGGCAGTCACATGGTAGGCTGAGCACTGAAGGAGGGACCTGGTCCAGACCACTTGTGCATCATTAACAGTTTCACAGGGCATCTGACAGAGGGCAGCTGGTCTCTATAAACATAGAGAAACAGAGATAGGAAGCTGTGACAGAGACTGTAGAAGACTTGACACGCTAGGGAAGGCTGGGATTCGAGAAGAGCTGCCAGAAGCAGATTCCAAAGGAGAAGGGAGCTTCCAGCTAGGAAGGCCTGGGACCAGCCTGCTAAAAGCAGGGAATTGAGTTTAACTTTGTAGACATTTAATTTTGTTCTGAATGTTGATGTTAATAAACCCAGTCCCTAAGGAGGGGCACTGAACAGAGAGGTCTGTGGAGTTTATTGAGGATCCCTGGAGGGAGAAAAGGAGATAGGGTGCTGCAGAGCCAGCCCAGCCACAAGGAGGCCCTCAGGAGGCAGCCAGTCCCTATTCCCTTGCAATTGAAACCGTATTCCTGCTAATAAATGCATTACTATTGGTACTGTGGGTATCTTAAGAGACTGTTATGATTCAGAGGACATGCTAGGCATGAACTCAGCATTTTGTTTTCAAACCTAAGGAAATCTGAGGTTTTTAGCATAGTTCTTGTTGATGGTTTCTGGTTTTTCTTTTTTTGATCTATACATGTAAGAAAAGCTATTGGGACAAATTCTGATCTCAACTATACTGTATACAATTTGAATTTAGAGCAATGTAAGTGAAAGCAGAAGTTGGACCACAGCATTTCCTGGCATTCATGATAAAGCAGTCACTAATCTGACACATGGTAAAGTGTGTCTCCTTTTGCTTCTCCTTCATCATTGTAACTCAGTACTTAAATGGACACTTCCTACAAAGTTTGAATTAGAATTTAAGATTTATTGCTGCCTGAAGTCTATTTAAGAAGCAAAGACCAGTTAGTCAGTCTGTCTCTTTATTAAAAAAAAGACTTCACAATTTGAAACTCTTATGAAGACAAAACCTAATGAAACCTAATGCAGATAGAAACTTAACACTACCAAGATTGTTTGGGTTTAGGACCTACTCAGAGAACCACCTCCACAGTACGCCATAAAATATAATGTACATTTAAAGATCAAAGCATCATCCTTTAGAACACCTGTTAGTCAAAATGGACTTTGCAACCAAGCCCCAGAATAACTAACTGTCAAAGGTCAGATCTGTGTTGTTCG